TCGAATTAAAATCGAGGATGGACCGATGCGAGAGTGCTGTTGGCACTCGTCGGAATTATTTAATTACACCGGTGTATCGATTATCGGTATCCAGGGGCGGTTTTCCGCGCGTGGCGCGTCCAGGTGACGCGCGCGCAGGTGGTGGCCAGGTGCCAGAGACGCGGCAGGTTTGTTCCCTCTCCCCTCCCCTTCCCCACTTCTCCTCCTCTTCTCCATGCCGTTTTCACCGCGACTCCCTCGGTTTCCCTCTCGCCGGGGCAAACAGGCTGTAAAGATAAGCGGGATCCCAGAGAGCGCCACATTCCTCGAGCTCCAGTTTTAATTAATTAACTCGAAATTATCCGCGCGCATTTGATCGATCGAGGAGGGAGGGAGGGAGGGAGGGAGGGAAGATGAGTTGTAGATTCGGTCGAAGGGGATCTCGATACGCGATCTCGTTGTCCCGGTGTTTAGAAAGCGATTCGCGTATTTCTGCCCTCCCCTCCCTCTCGATTGTAGATCGTGGAGAGCTCTCCTCGGCCAACCAACATCTCCCGTGGAAACGGCGCGGCGTTTCTGTTTGACTGCCGCGTCACCCATATTCGGATTATTTCACTACTTATGAACGATCTTTGTAGATATTTGAAAAGATATTTTGCAAGGTGTAATAAAACTATTAAATTGTTATAGAAATAATAAAAAAATAATTAATTTATTAAAAAAATATTTTTGAAAATTTTTAAAAATTTAATATTAATTTTTAATTTTTAAAAATTATTTCGAATGTAAAATTTTAAAACATTCTATACAAGGCTGAGGTTGATCAGGATTTGGACAAAAAGTTGTTGTCTTTTTTAAATTCCTTTGTGCGTTTAATTCATTTGTCGTCTTTTATCCGAAGAACATAATTTGCATATTTATAATACTTCTAATATTTATAATACTATAATACTAGTCTAATACTTATATCAGAATTATTTTTCCAAACGGCAATATTATGTTGACTCCGTTGAAAGTTTTGACAAGGTTTTGTTGTATTTTCGGATAATCCTAACAATTTTGCAGATAATAATTCTCTAACTCTTCTAATCTTGGGATATCACGAGTCTCTGATGATAATTAGATAATTTATGAACGTATCGTGCTCTGACCATCGGACACGATTACCTGCTGTGACATTGCTAGAGACCCTGGTCTCTAATAGACAAGCCGCACGAATAATTTATATACAATCCACAACTAAGAAGTATATTTGTAACGACTATGTCGAAGGACATTCGACAGTCACATTATCCAAATTATAATCCAAATTATTATCCAAATTAAAATATCCAAAATATATAAATCAGTACTACTAATCAATAGTATTGTCAATACAATTACTATTATCATTACTTCTAATAGTAATGGTGGAAAAAATCAGACTCGCATTACTAAAATATCGATAGAAGTATTAAAGTATTGATACAGCGGCGCGTGAAGGAAAAAATATCTGCTCAAATCCATCCAACGTGAATCGTATCCTCGAATTGCGATATTTAAGATAATATCCTTGGAAGGAGGAAAAAGGAAAGCGGCAGGAAAATTATCGGCTCGCCGAGTTGAGATTCTTCTCGCCGTAAAAGCGAAACAATGAAGGGATCGTTCGTCAATTGGAGAGAGAGAGAGAGAGAGAGAGAGAGAGAGAGAGAGAGAGAGAGAGAGAGAGAGAGAGA